TTCCCCGGGAAAAATTCAGAAAAAATTAAGGACAGCCTGTAGGTGCATTGTAGAGCCGTATTCGGACCCCGAAACAAGTAAGGACCCATCACCCTATTTCCTATCACGGTATTAAAGCTAAATAAATAATTAAACGGTATTTTGAGACTTTATAGATGTATAATTGATTGAGGTCGCTAATGGGGCACGAGTCTGGTGTATTTGTCAGTCAGTTGTTGTTTGTTCTATTTTACAGTTTTAAATGCAGTATGATGCCTGATGTTCTCATTTCATAGTTTCGTGTGCATAAATCACTGTTTTATTGATTATTGGTTGAATGACTGAGAACCCGATGTTGTATGTTGGCTTGTTTGGCATGAATTACTGGTTGCTTGTTTGTGTGTGATTTGATGATGCTGACTGAGGAAAAGGGGAATGAAAGGTTATATAAATTGATAATTGTATAATGTGGTCAGCCTGACTAGATATCCTAGGAGATAGTGGACATACCGAGTCCGTAGGGAACCCTACCAGGATTGTGGTCTCTCATACCGAACGGGGTATGGAGACCTTATATGTTTTGGCGCCCATACCGGACGGGGTATGAAGACGGCCTGTTTCACCCTCATACCGGACGGGATATTGAGGTTTATAGTTTTGGCGCCCATACCGGACGGGGTATGGAGACGGCCCTGGAATCTGATTACAAGTGTTAAAGGTTCACGGGTAGCGGGACCCCTATGGATCTCCATGGATACTAGTAGGCTGGTAAATAAGGAAAAATATGTTGTGTAATGATTGAGATGCAAAAGGCGTGATAAGATTATGTTATACAGTTCCTATGATTTCATGATGATGATAATGTTATTGCTTTCGTATATTGTTTTATGAATTTCACCGAGATAAGTGGTTAGCGAGGATTTTATTATCGATAAAAGAATTTGTTGTAAACTATGCTCCATTGGTCTTTTGTGTTTTCTACCCACATTTACTTCCGTGACGGTGAGATAGTGTGATGTTTTTACTGGGCTGGTGTAGCTTATTCCTTATTTAATCATTTCAGATCAGGAAGACATTGTTCCCGAGCCCGTTCCGCAGGAAGACGGCGAAGGGGACGCCTGAAGACTCCGTAGTCATATTTATAGCTTTTATTTTCGAGTTTTTCTTTTAGTTAGTTTGTTCTTTTATACTTTGAGCACATTTTTGGTTTTAGTGTAAGGGATGTTTAATCAAAATTTTTATTTCGCTTCCGCATTTAACCTTTTTAATACACATGTTTCATAGCGATATTGGGGTTCGGACTGTTACAATGTTAATAGCGATTGAATACATTAGAAAAAATGGTAAACCAAAACTAAGAATGTAAGATAGGATATTTTGTTAAATTGTCTAAATTATATAACGAAATAAAAGATCAAAAAATTTGGTAAAAAAATAGAAAATTGAGATTTCATTGAATTTGTAGCTATTATAAATTTTTGTGCACATATAAAATAATAATAACTAAATCTCGTCGTTGATACAATAAATCAAAATAAACATAAATTCATTAGTGAGAGGTGAAGAGTAAGAGAAGAAATAAATCAAGAAAATAGAGTAAAGAAATAAAAATACCTTGTAGAGATAAGAGATTTGAATTAAAAAGGATACTCAAGTATTAACATAATTGATTGAATAAAAAGAAAACCGAATAAAATCAAAAGGGATATAAATTTTGCTACACTAACGAGTAACAACATGTTATGAAGGAATAAAGATTTGTACACACCACAACTTCACTACTCTAGCGAGCGACTATGCAGGCACACTCTGCGTAACATACAAGTAATAGAAAAACTAATTTTAAATTGATCATAAAAAACATAGCAAGAGTCTTGGGAGTTAAGAGTCAAGTGAAGCGTAAAACTGTAGGATCTTTTTCGTTAACTGTCATGGAGGGGATTTCGTGTGTGTGGTTAAAATTCAACAATTGTGTTAAGAGGACCCTACCCCATTGATGCATGTGATGTGTACCCTAATAGTATAGAAGGATTTCCTTTAGTGGCCACTTTGGCGATTGTACTTTTATGGTACTTCATAGTTTCATTTTATGTGAACCACTATGTTGGTACCAGAAATCCCTTCTGTCCTTTTTTATAATAGTTTGAAAGCAACATCGTACAATAAAATTTCAATGCATTGTATAATAATTTGTTATAATTTAAAATGTGAAATTTAGTAAAAATATATATTAAAGTGTGTATCTGGTATGATAATGTGATACAATATGAAGAAGTGAAATGATAAATGTGAATTGAGAATTCATAAATGACATGTATATGAAATGACAAGTGTAAAGTACGATAAAATTTTCAAAAGAAAATATGATTAAAAAATATACGAATAATATAATTCTAAAATAAGATGTGAAACCAAAACGAAGATATAAAATTTAATGAGTTCGAAATTCGAATATTTGGGGTTGAAATTTATATAAATGTGAAAATACTTATATATTTTATTTGTGATCTCTTTATGAAAAGTTTTTAAATATGCATAAGTTTTGGAAAGGAATTCGTTTGGTATACATAAGCTTTTAATATAATTTTCAGTTATACATTCAATTTTCATGATTTCTTTATTTCTAATAGTGATACTAAAGAATTGTGTAGATTTTTAAAGCATGTTTTCATATGCTTTTGTGTTACCATAATTTTCTTAATTAGTATGTGAAACTCACAATAATTCACGCATCTATTTCATATTAGTGTAAGGACGTGAAGAAAACAAGATAGGAGGATAACGATTGAGACTCAAACTATGTTTAATTCTTATGAAGGCAATATATAACAATTGATCCAAGTGATGAAAAAGTCAAAAAATTTAACGTCTCATATCTAAATTACATATTATATTGTAAGAAAAGATTATTAGAATCTCTAAACATATGGTATATAAACGGTTGTGAAATTTAAAATAAAAAAATAAATATTTATTATTCTGATTTCATGTGTGTAGTTGTCCGTGCCCCTAACTGGAGTATGGGACGTTATAGAACATCTCTCTTCGGTATATCTTATTTAATCATTATATTTTGAAGTATTTTTCTTTAATTGTTGATATATTTTTCACTAACTTTGAACTATTTATGCATTTCTCACTAAAATTTGTTATTAATTATCTTTAGTTGAGTAGCAAAATGAGTTGGCTATGGTGGGAGTTCACCATCATTTTCAATACATTCCACAAATCAAATGATTGTAAATATCACATAATTGATAATTTTTTCTTATAAAAATAGGGAATGAAGTTAAAAAAAAAATATTTGAGATCATATTTAATGTAAGAAATTCACTTATTTTCTCTCTTTATTTATTTTTTATAAATTCATGATTAAAAAAGACTCTGATACCACTTTTTGTAGTTTTTTTTAAGTTAAGAAAACTTAAATTTTCATTAACTTTAGAATTAACAATTTAACATATTTTTAAATAAGTTTACATATAAAATAATTTTTTAAAAATAAACTATCATTAACTACATGATATTTAAAAAGATAATCAAAAATTAAATCTCATAAAAAATAAGCTCATACTAAATACATGATATTTAAAAGATAAACATGAACTAAATTTAATTAAAACATAAACTCTATTTGACATCAAATAATTAGTAATATAAATTATAATTTATACAATAATCTTTAAGAAACACTTTTCACCTTCTTCTTCTTCATTGGCTCCTACACCAAGAAAATCAATGAATGGTGGTGAAACCGTATCATGATCGTGGCCACTTGCTGGGGCTACTGATGTTGAAGCTTCACTGGCTGAATTTTGATGTGCTGGGCAGTCTGAGAAACTGTGAAGCATTTCTAAATCTGACTGTTGTATTGCCGTCATGTATGGAGGATTGTATGTGGGATACATTTTGTGGGGTTCATCAACTGGCCTATCCCAAACTCTGCTCTGCCTAAAAATCCCCATAACTTCATCACTACTACAGCCTGAAAATCACAGCCAATAACAAAGATGGGAAGAACCAGTCAGCTAAAGATCAGACAAACGTAACTGCAGAGAGGATTTAAGACTTTACAGCTGCAAAAATAGAGAGAGAATGAAAAGCGGAGTAACATCCGTCAGTGTCTATAAAAGTGAACAAATAAATGAACACCAGGTTGGTTTTAACTGCAAAACAAAACAAAGAAAAGAAAAAGGGAAGACTGGAGAACGCAAAGGAAAAACGAGGTAGGTTTTCATAAAGGAAACCCAAAAAGGAAACTAAATGGGAAGATAGAAAAGATAAGGGGAGGACACAAACCAGAGAAAAAGTTAAAAGGTGTTTGTTGAGGAGGAAACCCAGAGCCTGGTAATGCTTCTCCTCCTCCACCATTGAAGCTTCTTGGGATATCGAGAGAAAAATCTTGTGGTTGATCTGTTATTGTGCTTGGAATTTCATCCATTCTTCTGTGCACAGACTGGTTCATCTTCCTCCTCCTATAAGCACTAGATTGCTCTCTATTTTTCTTGGCCATCATTACATGCCAGTGATTCTTCACTGCATTATCAGTCCTTCCAGGGAACAACCTTGCTATCATTGCCCATTTGTTTCCATAAATTCTATGAGCTTCCGTCAACCTTTCTTCTTCTTCTTCTGTAAAAGCTCTTCTATTGATTTCTGGGTCCAACTGGTTAAACCATCTCTGTCTGCAGCTCTTACCTTCAAATCCAAAATAAGAAAAAGTTCAAATAATAAGGCAACACTAATCATCACTTTGCAAATAAAACACAGCAAGATATATACAAATACATATATTTCAAAAAGAAAGCAAACAAGGCTTTAATGAAATGAGTGAAGAAACAATAACACAGACCACAATCTTACCTGACCTTCCTTCCAACTTCTCAGCTATGACTTTCCAGTTCTGTGGACCATAAATAGCAACAAGTTCCTTAAGTAGAGCATCTTCAGTAGGCCGCCAATGTCCTTTGGCACAACGCTTTGATTGTCCACTATCTATTTCCTTGCCATTTTCCATGTTCTGATCATTAGGATGGTCATCATTAAGATTAATTCTCTGATTGTTTTCTCCATACCCATCACTGAAATCGATATCACTGTTGTGGTGCTCCTCAAAGTTCCTTGTTGAGCAGCTAGCATTGAAAGGAAAAATCCAAGAACCATTCCCATTTTCAATCTCAGGGCCGCAATGGTTTTGGTGAGAAGAGGAAAAGGTAGGGACTACCCAATATTTGCGGCGTAGGGAGAGGGAACTCATGTCTACATAAACCAAACCGACTGAAGAGGAAGAAGAATTGGAGAAGTAGCAAGTGAGACCATTTCTGTTGTTTGTTGCATATAAAAGACATTTGTTGTCCGTGTCTTCGTTCTTCTCTGACAAATGCTGTAAAAAAGTCATCACGGCCAATTCCTGATAAAAGAGTGCAAAGACAAATGCTTAAAAGTCGTTAACAACCATAAAAGAGCAAAAATTTTACCCATAAAAGATTTACTCCTATATACCAAATAGGTTATTTTACACATAAAAAATTTAAACTTTAAACATTAACATAGGGTAAGATAAATAGGTTAACCCACTCCATTTTCTGAAATTTGAAGGGTACAGATAGGTACGAACTAGATGCTTCTATGCCTAGTAAAAACCAGATTATCAAGTGCACCAGCTCTAACACAAGTAATAATCAGTAAAAAATGGCATATTAAGCATGTTGATAGAAAAAGTAAAATCTAGATGCTGATTTCATGTCAGATCTACTTACATGTTATGTATATATATATACATATATGGGTAATACTGTAAAGTCTCCTAAATGTTTGCATTAATTTCAACCATTAAATTAACCAAAAAGAAACCACAGCCCTTTTAAAAATGGAAGGAGAATTTATTTTTACTGTAAAAAATTTCGCTCACATACACCATGACTCAGGCATAGTAGCATTTCCCACATATAAACTACATATATCACTTTCAATTATTTTTTTGATCTGCCTTTATCATTACGATCTTTTTGACAGTCCGTACGTACGCATTAAACAATAATTACGTAATTCAATTACAAGAGACATAATAACATATAATGATAATAAAACAAATATTAATTACCTTATGCTGACACAGACAAATAACCCACTTGATTAATCACCATCTAATGATGGCAGGGACGAGCAAAGGATCATAAATGCATGTAGATTATAATATAAGCATGACTCCTGGGGGAAGATTATAAGAAAAAGTGTTAAATCTGAAAATGTGGTAAATTTAAAACTTAATCACCCAGATTACGGAAGTAAAAGCGAAGACGATGATGAGATGCTGAGGAAAAGCGTTATAAATGCATGATTTCATTTGTCAGCATGGGGAGAGATTTGGATTAACAAAGAATTAAGTAAATAGATAATAATAGTAATTAATTACGATAGGGATTGTTGTATTAAAAGGCGTCCCCCGATAAGGAAAGAAGAGAAGAGAAGAGAAGAGTTGACTTGAGCTTTTAAATAGTAATCACCAACTGAAAACTCAAAAGGCCTTTATTTATCATTATATTATTTCAAGTCTTTGAAGTGTGAGAAGAGAGAAGGCAGAGTGTCAGGCAGGGTATTGATTTTCTTTGAGATTTGATTTTGTTACAGGGAGGAATTGAATTGTCTCTATTTACTATTATATTAGAGAGAGAAGTCAGAGGGGTGGTGTTGAAGATAATCGATGATATAGAGACAGGGACTTGTGCCGCAAGAGGAAAAAAGGCTTGCTGTTGAAGATTGAGAGAGAGAAAGGTTGCTGCTGTCGAAGACGAGACCAAGGAGAAAGTTGATGTTGAAGATGAGCTGAGAGAGAGACGAGGTAAACAAGCGAAGACAAAAATTTAACTTTTTCAGCCAAAACGTAATGATATGAGTGTATTAAAACGTAATTAAAAATTTAAAAGCTAAATTGTAATAAAAAATATTAACAATTACCAAATTAAGTTATATTATTTTTAACATTTATCAAATCAATATTTTTTTTTAAAAAAATATATATATATATATATATATATCAATTTTAAGAATTTTTAAAGGACAAAATTGTAGTTTTGTCTTTATTATCTTTTTCTTTTTGCCCATTACCGTACTTGGCATTTCTGACATTTTTGTTTCTTCTCCATCCATTTAAATTGTTTATCTTCGTCATTTCTACATGATTTTGCGTATGAATTTATTATCTTCTCAATCCAGATCATTTATAAAATATAAAAGAATTTATAAAAGTGTTTATAAAATATACTAAACTACAATTAAGTACATGTAATATATACATTGCATGCATGCACTGTATACTAGTAGTATATACATATTATGTAAATATACAACTAATTAATTTCGTTTAAATTAAATATCATAATTTTAACTCTTTCTTAGTGCAAAAAAAAAATATAACTTGTACTCATGCACTTAATATAGTTATTCACAGAAACTATATAGATATTTATACCACAAAAATAGTATTATATATACGCCACAATATATATATATAGTGAAGTTGATCTGGTGGCATGGGGAAGGCTAGGGGGGTAGGTCTCCCTCCACAACCAAAGCATGCGACACCTCTGCTATATGTTCTTTTTATTTTTTATTTTTTTCTTTCTTGCCAAACACAAAACTGAACTGAATGTTTACTGCCAATTTTTCGTCCTCTCTTCTCACCTACATCCGTATATGAACATATAACAAGGATGAGGTCGGAAATATATCTGCATGAATATTTTCTCGCCAAGATCAACTGGAAGTTTGATCCTCTGCTCGATAAAATTCCCAATGAGACTCAACCGAAAGAAGCTAATTATCAACTCGATTTACAAGAACCATAAATATAAAAGACAAAAAACAACTATTAATTACATGGAAAAGAGAGTAAGAAATTGGACAAACAAAAGTAAAATTGCATTCTTAATTATGTTAATAACCAGTCCCCACTGACCACCCTGATAGTATAGTACAGTGACTTCATTTTCCCATCCACGGGATTCTTGAAAATGAAATGAGTTTGCAGTCTAAACAACGATCATGGCGTGGCTTGACATCTTCCAGGTGAAGGGTTCGCTCGACAGATTTGACTTGGAATATTGACTCCAAATATCCCGATGTGGTATTACTCTAATGACAGTGTTCTCCCTGTAAAATCAAACACCATAACAACACATCACCCACTGTCACTTAAGTAGTAAATATCATAGCCCTCCGTCCCTGTCTCCATCAATTTTTTTCCTTTTTTTTTTTTTTTGTGGGTAATTAACATTAAGTTCAGAAGAGAATTTAAATTATCAGGCTAGTTTTTTAATATTTCATTCCAAAAATTGCTTGATTTATGTCTCTTCCTTGACAACTAATTATAACAGTCCTAAAACATCATTGCTTTACTTGGATTCTTTCTGATAAACATCATTGCTTTTGATTCAATTAATAGATAAATGGGTTAAAACTACATGCTGAGATTGATATATATATATATATATATATTATAATGTCCTGTGTCTGTGACCTACAAATTTGAATACTTTAAGGTATAAGGTCCAAAGTTGAGAACTGAGATTGATTGTATTGTTTTCATGTGCATAGACGGTAGCAGTCGACCCTATCTATTATTTATTCCTCTGTATGGAAATATTATTTCCAGATCTCTGTTTCATTAAAGTTATATATGCACATAAAATGTTGTATATAATTTTCAAGGAGAGAGGAATGTTTGTTAACAAGTGTCTAAAACCCTTGCCCAAGAAAATTATGGCAGGAAATTGGGAATGTCTCTTTATGTATACATAAAATATATATATATTTTAACAGTAGTACAGTTGAGCAACTGGAAAACCAGTTATGTGATCTGAATTCACAAAAAGAATAAAGAAATGGAGGAAACCCATTGGCATACTCTCATAACTTTGGAATTCGTTTATAATAATAATAATAATAATAATAATAATAATAATAATAATCTTATTCTTATTGTTACAAATTCAATATAATAATAATTATTATTATAGTAATTAATCTAATAGATAAATCATGTTATCATTCAATCAAAATTGATCATATATATATTTCGTTATGTCGTATCATTTAGTTATTTCATTATTTTGTTGACTCAAAATTTATTTCACCAATTCAGCTTTCCATGGAAAGTCAGCTCAAAATCTTCAAGTACGTATATGCAGATGTGGAAGTTCAATGTTTTACCTCTTCAATGGTGGTATGATAACCAGAAAGTGCTGATTTGCAAGCCTTTCGAACAACTCGGCATATCAGTTCTTCATTGTCACAGCTTACAAGCAAATCAAGATGTCTCCAGACTGTGTTTCTAAAATAGATTCCAGGAGGAAAGCATCAGTTCCCCCACGTGTTACCAACCTCAGATACGGAAGCATCGCAGGTGGAAGATCTTGGCCCCCAAACAATGTCGAAGTAAGCAACCTCCCCCAGATCATTGGAGACAGTAGTGTCAAGCTTATCTCCAAGAAAGGCGTCTGACTTTGAGATCTTCAATGTTAAGGCATATGCATTGCGGTCTGCTTTTTGTTCGACAAACCTGTAATCCAAAGCTAACTCAGCATTACTTTTATTCATTATCTGTAAAAGAGTGAAAGTTTTTTATTAGGGTTTGGAACAACTGGACAGTTGAGATCGAAAGCAGAAAATGAAGGGTCAGATGAAAAGAATACTGGGATTGAGGGCAAGTGGAAGATGGAAATTGAAAGTTGCTATCTGTTGTGGACAACTGTGAAAGTAGATTCTAGAATTTGGTTTTTGTTTTTGGTTTGTAAAGCAGTCTGTTAGGGTTTTTTCAATTTTCTCTATTAGTGTATTTTCCTCTTCTCTGTGTGTATACATAGCCACCTGTACACAATGAAAAACACGCATAAAAATAGTAAAATTTACTCATTCCCTTTTCAATATCGTATTGGATGAAAACTTATTGAAAAATTCTACTAGTAGGTCATATCATGTAAACATATTAAATTCGACAAGATCATAATTAATTTAAGCTGACTTAGGGGCCAGGTCCTTTATCAAAATATGTCAATGCCAAATTTGTGAATTACTAGTTTTGATGGGGTGAGCTCATCATGACATTTCTTTGAGCATATAAACCTGAAGTTCTGTTTACACAGCAAGAAATAGCTATATCACATGTCCCAGAGGTTAAAGCCTATACTTCTTAGTTCTGCAACTACCCATGTCAAATACAGAAAACAAGAGATATTCTCAATTTGAAAGCTCCAACTGCTGACCAGCTTTAACAGAACTGGGGATCGCAAAGAAAATAAGAGATCCCTAGAAAAGAGTCCTGCTCCTTTGATTTCATATGCATACTCTTCAGTAGTTATGCTGGAGCTGTGGTTGATGTGGTCAAAGAGCAACGTTCAC